TTTCATCTTGTCCAAAAGTATCATGTTCTAATGCATTATAACGTTTACTACTATAGTGGGGTTTCTCTGACATTCCGCTTTCATAATCTTCGAACTATTTGTTTGTCGGCCTCCATGCCTACTTGTTGAGAATATTTTTTGGCATTAGCTTTACTCGATCTGTTGACGTTATTTTTTTGCTCGGTTTTCCTTTCTTCGAGGGTGTTGCCCGTTTTGTTGATGTACACTGGACCACATCAACAGGGAAAAGTATACACTGAATCTTGCTTCTGGTCCTCCAGTGTCCTAGTCTGCAGGTGTCTGAAGCGATTGCGAAACGTTCTCCCGGTTGGATTACAATGTTCAAGAGGGCTTTTGACGTAATGAATCGTAATTTTTTGCTCAGATCAGCTCAACCATATGCTAAAGGTGATGTGCATCTTTCTGTGGGGTTACCAGCGAGAGATTTTCATACATTCAGATACTGGCTTCATTTAAAAGCATAGTGCTTCAAGCATACTGTGTAGTTTTCTTTATGTTTCTCACAGAGTACTACTCCTCAACCTTGAAAAAAAGAAGTCGAGTGACCAAACTTGGTGTAGGACACGAAACGTCTCGTTTCAGAGTCAGACACTTTACCGACTGAGCAGTTGTGCTTACGGAATAACCTAACGCGTTGTTATATAGCATTTTGCGTCACAATGTTATTCTGCATTTCGCTATACTGTGGAAATTAAAGAATTTTAGAGTGTGCTATATTTGTATATATATCGTACTGTGCAACATAGTACAGCCGAATGTAATATCACATTGTATGTATTGTGAAATAAGTGGAGGTTGCGTTGTGTTGAATTCCTGTACTCTGCTGTTTTCCTTGATAACCGAGGCTCACAACATGTATCATATGCATTACACAATTATTGACCTTTCTTTTTTCAGGAATTGATGCCATGCGATTCTGTTTAGCAACTGACTCAGATTCCCTGAATTCAGCCTTGATTGACGAATTTCGCGAAATCGCCTACTCATCCTTCTGTGACACCTCGAAGACTCCCAGCCCGTTGATCGTTCTCGGCGACCGTTCGAAGGAAACAAGGCCCGTTCGACGCAAGGCTTTGGTCAACCTTGTTTCTCTTGACTCTAGCGACAGGTGCTTCTTTTCCCTTTACTTTTAAATACTCTTTTTTTCATGGTGCAGCTGTATTAATTTGCAGGTGTTTTAGTTCCCGTACAAGTGATATTGTCTGCTGAGCATTTTAGGCATCAATTTGCAGTCATGAAGTCTGTAGATCAGTGATATACATAAATTGCTCTAAGGGTAAGAAGTGGCAAATAATTGTGAAATGTACAAAGGGTCTTGTCCCGCAGGAGTTATTCGTCTGCTAAATGTCATGCATGCGGTGGCATATAACTGGTGGTAGCTACCAAAACGTGATTTGTGATGAGATGAAGATTGCTTCAGCGAGTATGGTCATATATGGTAATATTGTGTGTTGTTTTAGTGCATATGAGTCGTGGTCTACTTAAGTGCCCCCATAGATAGCCGGTGGCTAATCGGGAGTGCGATACATTATGATTTTGAACCGTAAAACGTTGTTCACCTCTCATGTGCAATGTGCGTTATTATGGGAGCTTGACGGGTATAAGATATTCATTTACAGATATTCAAGCGATTCTCGGAAATACTTTATGGTACTTACCATTGAACTACATGTTACTCTGTTTAACATGACCCTCGTTTTATGATATCATATTGTACACTCTTCGTTAAAGTCTATGACCTCGACTTTTAGACTCGATGGAAACAGTCAAAATCCAGTTGCAGCGAGTTTCGAGGTTAGAAAATGCATTACTCGTGTGAGTTGCCCTTAACCTAAAGTTTTTAGGGGTCTGTTAATGGCGAAGATTTGTCAGTGCAGACTTTTGACTCTGACTGCATATCGCAGGGTGAAATCGGTGAGTATCGTAAACAGCGCTATTTTACGTACAGATTCGGAAAACTATTGACCTCAATCGATCACTGAGTTGTGAACAACTATTATAGCTTGCAGTGGTACTTTTCATTAGTGATTCTGTTATATCTTTTCTTTTATTTATTATATCACTTAATCTTGTGCTTCACTTTCTGTACACATGTTGACAAATCGGTTGTTCCTCAATGCCATAGCAATGAACTTGATTATTGAGGTACTAAAAACGGTTTAAGACAGCTGTCTAAAAACATTAAGAATTTGTACTGTTGCGATGAAGAAACTACTACCTGACATTGAAATGATGTAAATGCTGTTCTTGTTTTGGTTAATTATTTAACTTATATTAGTAGTTTAATAATCTGGTAAGTTTGATGATGTGTTGCAAGTTAATAAGATTTAATTAAGAAGTTAGCAGGCTAAGTTCTTCGCAGGATTTACAGTTAAATGGTTAGGAGATTTTAGAAAAGCAGGTAACGTCCAACGATCAATACAGTGACAATGATAGGACAAAGTTTAGAAGAGTATTCCGCTACAGTTGTCATGAACTGCTCCATGGCAAGTGTCAGTTTCGAACTCCAAGGGTTTCATCTCAAGGACTGCAAAATTTGTCTTAGCAATTACTTGTCTGGCGCAAAGATTTTACTTAATATTTTCTTTGTGCAACCGAGAAACAAATGGCAGGTCGTTGACATGCGAACGAGAGGGGCGTAATGCTGTTGTGCTGTGATCATACCCCTTTCGTCAAGAGCTGCGGCTATGCCCTTTGGTACGACACGCCTCATGTGACTACAACTGGCCTTTACCTATCTGACTGTTTACTGTACATTGTCATCCTTTTTGTTTTTGCTGTCAATCCAGAAATTAATGGCTTAGAAGCCAGTGGTAACCGAGATGGACGTTGGTTCTTATGTCTTTTAAATCCATCGTGTGTTATTTCAAAGGCAAACTCAGAAACTCGATCTATGATGATCCTCACTGAAATGAAAAAGAAGGTCATGTCTGTTTTCGATTGAAACCTCTGTTGGTCGAGAGATACACTCAGTGTGGTGGCCACAAGGCGGGATTAGTTTTTTACAGTGCCTACTAGTTCTTGCGCGACAACAGTTTTGACTAACGAACCAAATAATTTCTTTGGTCCTGTTCTGTTGTGTCAGAACAGAACTGTGAAATGAGATTCACGGTCATCTTTCGATGAAAGAGCTTTCTGCGGTTGCCATATAGGCTGACCTCCAGCGTGTGTCGTTGGCCTGATTTCTCCAAGTTTTCGTTAGTCCAGGGAATGGTTTCGATTCGTAGTCTCTGTCCATGGTGTTGTTGCACTTCGGAATCAAAATGTTATTTTTACGCAGCCGTTCTTTATTGTATTTCCAACCCTTTTACTGCTTCTGACTCATCAGGCGGGATTCAGAAATAATTTTTTTATTTCATACGTTGAAAAATCCTCTACCGGATGACATGGCACCGCAGATCAAATGTATTATGCGCGTGTTCTTCAGGGTTTTGGATCATGCTCGATCCGTCCATAGGATGACATAATGATAAACAGATAATGTCATAGAATGAATTTTTCAGTTAGGTAGTAACTTCACTCTGATGTGTTAGCATCGATTTTGTAAATTGCTTGGTAATATCGTCCCGGGCGAACTTGGTTCCATAACAGCGGCTTTATTCATGCATTAATTATATCGAATATCTGCACCATCCTTTATCTTGTTTAATTATACCGTGTTTGGTAAAAAATCTCAATAAATTGTTAACACAATATTCGTTTTCTAGTGTCCTCGTCTTCTGAAGACGAAACTGTTGAAAATTCAGCAAAACAGCAAATCCTGAGGTAAATTGTTGAATTTAATCTTATTATATATCTCTTATAAATATGACTTTTTATAATGACGTCAAGGCAAAAACTTAATATTTGTCAGAACGCTCGCACAGAGTGAATGAAGCTAAATTTAAGCAGAAGAGCTACGGGTTAAAGCTGAAAGCATATGACAGAACCACTGAAATTCATGCGTTAAGATAGCAGTTAAAACATAGTAATGTAAATAATGCAAATGCTGCCTCTGCTAGTGGGTCCCGGAGAGTGCGAACAGACCATTGGGTGATCGTTTTCCTAATATTTTAAATCTTAACTTAAACGTTCATATATTTGCATAGCTTTAAACCGTTTGGAGGCGAGCATTAGAAACATGGCAATGTATGTAAAACGTTGTCTTATGTTCGCGTTTCCCGTCTTCACCTGCTGATTCTATCAATTTTACCTATTAAATGCTTTAATTAAATTCGTTTCATTAAACTAGATTTTACGGTTTATTGCATCCTCTCCTTGCTTCTACTTGCCTATGGGAAAGGGGACTTGAGCAGGCTGCTGCGCGATGGAATTTCAGCGCTTGCACTGCCAGATGCATCTCACATCATTTTGTTCGCTGTACCGACCTCGCGCTCACAATATTATCGGGATTGTTACTCTTTATCCGCTGCAGCATGAACATGGAAACACGTTTTTTACCTAGAGTATGCAAATTGGTGACTAAGTCATTCAAAACCAATTTTAACGATATATTGCATCGTTCATTGCTCTTAGTTGCCTTGAGAGTCATATAGGCAAGCTACCCTTTCTTCGTAGCCCGCGTTAAAGGAACTTTACTCCTCCGAAGATACTCCGGCGTAAGAACGTCTCTTGAAATTTCCGTCAGTGCGGAGGTAGGGAATCTTTGTTCAGCTGTTCAACTAATGCAGCGCTAACGACCTACCTATATCAGCACTGTGATATCTCTAACTAAAGCTGGTACAGAAATATTTTAACAGAACGATTACTGGCCGATCTGATCATAATTTCACTTACCTATCTTGGTATTTTGCATTGAATAGGGTGCTTGTGTAAAATTATACTTATCGATGGTGCTGTCGATTTATAACCCTGTCACTGTCTTCATATTGCACCCTTCAAATTCCGGCTATCCGTAATTGCAGTTAAACCGAAGTTTATATACCGAATAAATTTGAAAATCATTGAATATGAAAGCCTGAGGAATCAGTTTCAGATGACGTGTCAACGAGGTTTAGCCAGATACCCGTCGAACCCTTCCTTACTATCCCTGAGGTACGGAGCAAATCTTACTATGGATGAAGTAATGAAAAGCACTTTAAGGAACTGGTTAGAAAATTATCGTTCTGATAAACTAATTCCATAATGTTCAGTTGAGTGAACGTATAGCGTTGTTGTTAAGGTTAAACTAATATCTAACTGTTGTGTTTATAAATAACTACATTTTATATGTTTCTCCACTCCTGATATGATATATGATAATCTGCATGAATACTTGTTGTAAACTGTTCTCTATTTACGATACCTAGCTATTTAAGTCAGAAAGTTTTGTGCTGTTTGTATATTATTTGTTAGATAGGTGTCTTTTAGATCCGCACCTCATAACCGTTCAATCCACAAGTTGGTTGAACTTCTAGATTCCATAGCGAACGTGAAGGCGGATTTGTCCGCTTTGAAGGCAGACATAAAGAAGTATAGGCACGCCGATCAATGCGAAATGGCGAAAAGTTTACAGTAAGTATTTGTTGTCAGTTTTATTGGTTTTGGAATTAATCCTCTTTGGCGAAACCTTCCAAATAGCTTTAACATAACAAGTTGAGTTTGATAACACTGCAAAATTTATTATGAAACAAGGGCTAGCCGAAACTGCTGTGAACAACTAGTGGCGTTCCTTTCCAAGGGGGTTTATTTATTTCTACGGTTGCAAAGGCATAATATGTGGTTAAGGTACTGACTAGCCAGTTTCAATAATCCATGTGCCCCATTGGCCGGTGTTATTTCATTGCACAATGCGACTCTTGGCCACTCCTGTCAGCTTGACGTAGATTTACATATCTAGAGTAGCTGATCCACGTAATGCAAAGCATCTGCATGCGTTTTCCATCCAAACGTTTGCAACTTTATGTTTTGGTAATATGGGTGTTTTTTATTCACATGAGCAAGAAGGTCTTTTTACACGCCATTTTTTCGTGTTGCTGCACTTGAGATTAGATGGACAGATTTAAAGATGAACTGGCAGATTTCTACTAGATCGATATTTAGATGAATGGATATATGGATAGGCAGGCAGGCAATCAGACATGTGCAGAGATAGGTGAGTAGATAGATAGGCATTGATGAATAGGTATATGGATAGATTGGTAGAACTGGATAACGTAACGAATTAATAGAGGTAGATGATTGTTAGTTTAATGATAGATATCAGTATACCAGTAAATAGATGATGAATGTGTGGATTAATGGATGAATGCATAGACAGACGTGAGGATGGGCAAATAATAGATAGACAGTCCCGAATCCGAATAGATTGAAAGGCTGTGATATAAATGTTACAAGTTAGAACAGATGGGTAAATAAATCACAGCACAGGGCAGCAGCTGTACGAATTGGTAAGCAGGCAAACGGTTCTTAATTGGAACAGCACGCATTTAATGTTTTGTCAAATTTTGCATCCTTCTGGAAAAATGTTGTTCCCGTTAGTTTGTCTCTTCTTATTGACACCGGCAGTAGTCGATTTATATATACGTGTAGGAAGAATTCAGACAGCAGTATAACTATTTCTTTTCTGAGTGTGCAGTTTTGCTCGATAGTCATAACGGTTATCCTGCTGCTGGAGGTCATCATGAAGTTATACTCAAGGTTGTAGGTAGACTTCTAAAATCAACTGTTAAAGATTCTTCAATCTGTTGATCAACAAGATTTCTACCAGCAATTTCCTTTTCGAGAAACTCGCTATCTGCTGTGTAGGATGACGGAAATGGCTTGAAATAGTGTGATTCTTTGCTTAGAAATTTTAATCTTTCACTAGGAAGGTGTATTTGTAGCATTTTTCATTGCTTTAGTGTCGATGAAATAAACATGCTCGTGATTGGCATGCCTCAAGTTTGTTCTGAGCCTGGGAATTTGGCAGTAAATCATCGATTGTTCTATGTGTTATTGCTGGTTCTGCTCGCTTCTTGTTGGTTTGTTGTGAAGATTTACCATTGTTATCGAAATTAAGCATGCAGCTTTTTTGCCCACTGGTGGAAATATGCGCGACCTTTGACTGATGAAGGTTCACAGCTCTTGTGGCACATTTTTCTGATTCATTTCTGCAAGAATGAGTTCATTTTGTCCTTCCCTTAAAGTGATGGCGAGACTTTGTTTACCATCGATGAAAGGTACTTGGGGTTAGAAGTTTTTCTGATTATTGTACTGCATTGTCTATCAGAGCGAAATGCAGACATAAAGCGCGATCACGTCGCATAGCGTTGTTGTATACCTCATCCATTCTGGTCTGATTGCACCAAATACCATGATGTCTTTGTTATTCGTAAGTCAATCACTTGCTGCCCTTTTCTCGGCTGGTTGCGCTGCAGCGTGGAGGTGAAATTCCTAGCTCACGTGCATTCGCTGCGAAGACAAAGATTGTACCCTCTTTTGATTCGAACCCCTCCGTCGCCCTCTCTGTGGTTATAAGTCGATCGTTTTGTCACTGTGACTCAATCCCCCAACTGAATTCTAGTTTAAAATGAATTTTTATTATTTTATGTGACATTTGCTTATTCAGGTCTTTTCCTGTTACTAAAATGTAGTAAATTTTTAGGTACGCTAGTGCATTATGCGAACTACTGGAAAAACCAAAGTCAGTGGGCAACAGTTCCTCTGTTTCAGGTGTTCGCAACCGTTTTTTGTCTATTTCTTAAATAGGTCATTTCAGGTCAGATACCGGAGTCAGCTCATGTTAAGAAAATGACGCAGGTTAGAGAGCTAGCTTCTTTTCAAATTTCGGGTTGTTAGTTGATTATTTGTTAGTTCATTATTTTCTAAATTTAA